TACGGCAAAAAAGTCTATTGACTGGCAGTTGACTTCTCACTTCAAACTACCATCACCTAACTCTATGCCATATTCGAATATTCACAGTACTCACCTCACCTTTGTTCTACCTTTGTGTTTGTCTCTTACATCTTTGAAACACTCTTCTGTTCTGTTTGATGTTCCCTCCCCTCTGTGAAGCCTGAAGTCAACTAAAGAGCTAATGATAACCATCAAGACGCCTGCCATTTGATATAAATAAATAAATGTTCGAAGTACGTTTATCATTTCAACCGCCGTAATGTCTTTCAATGGCCAGGGATCGTAAAATTATTGCTGCTCGGGACTTTAAATCTATTTGCAATCTTGAGCATAGGGCATAAAGCCAGTTAACGCATTTCAGTGTACTTAAATTTGTGCATTTTATTAGAATCAGACTCCCACTTGCTCTGAACTGACTCCTGTTGGCTTACTATTCAAGTCTCAATTCTATTTCATATTTTGTTCGCTTTTCCACTCGCCTTTCTGTCTACTAGGGTTGTCTAAGGCATCTCTGGACAAACTCAGTTATTGACTTCAATGACAGTATTATAACTATTTAGCGCACGTTGGAGAAATTTTCATAACTGAGATCTTATTAGTGTCAAATAACTAAACACCAATCAAAATCTTACCCTGAGATATTTCCCGATTTCAAGACCCGTGTTACGTTTCATTTCAGCATTTTCATTCCTTTTAACATCATCCTTTGCACAGGCCTCCATGTAAAGACGATCCATTTCCATGTCACAAGCCTTCCTATTCTCTTCAACAATTTTCTTCAGATTTCGAAAATGATCGAGTTCACATCGATATTTAGCCTGTTCCTGCAAAGTTTGCAAGGACCCCGTGACTGATTCATCAAACTCCTTCAGTGATTCCAGCATGGATCGTCCTAGTTCTAATTCTGTGGATGCTTTTGCTGCTTGGATAGAAAGACTCTCTTCCTCCAAACGTCGTAACTCTTCCAAATGTTTTGCTGCAATCTCCTGAATTTGAAAAGAAAGCAAAAAATGAAACGCTTTGTGATCATGTCGTAAAATTTAAAGTCGTCACTTATTGGTGGTTGTATTGACCAATACGTAGGTTCCGTATGAGCCACACTGTATTAAAACAGGACATCTCATATCACTATTAAAAGGGCTAGTTTAACTAATAAGAAGAGTACTATGTACCAATCAATAACTACATAAACCCAAAATGGGAGTGACTCTAAGTCCCCTACCTTTATTGTTTAGTCTTTTGCGTCAGGGACAATACCATCCAAGTGCCTGAATAATCTAGTTTTAATTATGTGGAAACCTTCACTGAGCTAAATTAATGAAAACCATACGAGTGAATTGACGTCGATCTCGATTTAGATCCTGCAAAAAACCATGATTTCATGACCGATCTATCAAAATCTCATTAATCTTTGTACCTTAATACAAATCTGCCTCCTTTTGTTGCCAGCATTTGGTTTAATGCACTAGTGATATCCTAACTATAAGCACTTCCTATTCAAGTATAGAAGCCCGAACTTAAATGACGCTTGAGTAATTACCCCTCCAACCCAATGGAATCTGAGCGAAAAAAATGAAGCACAAATTAGTCGATGGCATGTAAATGATCGTTGTGGTCACCACCCCTCCCCGTCAAGACAAAATAAAAACTGAGATCAATGGCCTAGTGCCTAAACCCCGTTAATTCAATAGAATTAAAAGAACCAAAGTGATTGAAGCGCCACTTTTTTAGGATTTCATCCAAAACCCGTTAGTGCTAACTTCAATATGAAGATCTTTCTTCGAAGTACCATGTGCAAAAGCCAATGCACTTATTCTTCCCAAATCCTCAACCTTTCAAAGATTGCTTCATCTCATCACTTGTCCGAAAAACTAAATGTGTACCGCCCTAGTAATAACCTGATACAGGTAGGCATTAGAAAAGTAATTACACACACACATACACACAAACACACACCTGCCTTTTGCTCTGTGCCATCACATTCTGTAACTGACGATTTCTGTTGGCATCCATTGAAGTATTCATATTTTCCCATTCCTCCTGTTTCTTGGCCTCCAAATCGCGTTCCCTCAGTTTACGGTCTTGAAGTTCTCTTTCGTGTCTTTTGAGAAATTCCTGTTGGTCTCGACTTAATTCCTCTTTCCTCTTAAGGGCCTTTTCATTCTCCCTGACAAAATGTGCACATTAAATAAAGTTATAAAATAGGAAGCGTAAGTAACCTCGGGAGATGGGAGAATTATTAAGGAACACATAATCACGACTATTCATTAAATCCTGCTATTCGCACCCACTTAATGATATTTCAGTGACATTAGTCATTACATTTGTTTAAGTGGTTTCTTACTTCAGTTTCAGACTGAGATCACAATTCCGCATTCTTAAACGTCTTTGTCGCTGTTTCAGCTCGATTGACTTAAAACCAACGTTCACTCCCAGTTGGGCTCGTAAAGCTGAGAAGAACAAACATTTTGCCATCTTCCTCTATTTTACATAGGTATTTCCTAATCAAAATCAGAAGCCCATAGAATTGCAAGCAATTTAATTTTAATTCTGGATAACGGTTACTAAATTTAATTTATATTCCCCAAACTCGACTTCTTGACAATCCTCTAAACAGTGGTTAGCATATAATTGATTAATTAATATCAAATGTCAGGCGTCTTGATGGTTATCAATAGCCCTTTAGTTGACTTCAAACTTCACAGAGAGGAAGGAACATCCAATTGAAAAAGTCGAGAGGGGGGAACAGAAGAGTGTTTCAAAGATGTAAGAGACAAACACAAAAGTAGAACAAAGGTGAGGTGAGAACTGTGAAAATAGTCGAATATGACATACAGTGGGGTCATGGTAGTTTGAAGTCAACTGCCAGTCAATAGACTTTTTTGCCGTATGGGTACACGTTGCCCAGGCTGCACCACGTGGAGGTAAGTCTATCTCACACCCTGTGGTTAGCATATTGTTCCTAGTAAAGCAACACTTTTGTTTGGTTGAATTCACGGACGGACTTGAAGAATAGGTTGTTAATTGCTTGATTTTTTGATAACAATTTGATCATTTACTCTTAAAATTACATACATCTTTCGATTTGATAATTAGAGTGTATACAAGGAATCCCTAAAACCTAACAGAGTAACTGTCCAATTATTTTCTATTTCAAGGATGTACCAAGAAGCAATACAAAAGAAAAACAGATTTCCCACTTTTCAACAGCATAGTTTCGAAACA